GTACGCCATGGCTTCTGTGGTTAACGTCACGTTGTAATCCAACTGCAGTTGAGTTAGTTGGACGGCAATTGTAGTTCAAGATGAGCGTTCGATGACGTATACTATCAAACTCACAAATGGACCAATCAGAGGTTAGCGCTGATTTCCAGCTGACGGCGTCCTGTCCTAAGAAACCAGGCCTTGAAACAAAGTTTATGGTGGTAGTATTAAAAAAAAGTAAGAAGTGTATTGGAAGCATTAAAAACAACTTTTAAATACCTCATTTTAATCTCGGATTCATCACTGGGGGCCTTTTCTTCCATCAAAAGTGAAGAACGACGGCCATCCACTTCCACATCACGTTCTTCATATTTTTCCTCAACATGAAACATTCCATCGTCCGCTAATGACTCGTATGACTCTCCTCTATAGAGTCGTTTAATCCGTTTGTACTCCCGAAAAATGTAATCGGTGTTTGTCAATATATTTACCAACTCTTCGTCATAACTTTCGTCATTTATCTGAACAACAGACTCACTTTTGGAATCTGAATCCCCATCGGACTGAATATTTATCAGTTCCGTCATCATTTCTGAACATGCAAACGTAATATGCATATTTGGAAGACTGTGAGATCGTATATGTTTATCAGGCTTCCACTCATAAACGTCTTCCAACTCTTCATTAATACCACAACCATTCTTAACAATACACTTGTTAGCAAGACGACGGAGTCTCAAATACCATTCCTCGTAATAAAGTTGGTCCATTCGATCTTTCTTTGCAAGATCACAATTATCCGAATCGTCATTCTTGGCGATGTCTATTGTCGCCTTTCTATTTTTTTTCTTAGCTGTAAAACAAAATAACCAATATTTACCTTATAATGTATATTATATACTTGTTACGAAATCGCGTAAAATTTGAATAAACGGGGGAAAAATTAAAGCATTTCCGACTAAAAATTCTGATTCCCTTGAAGTAAGTCCATGGATTTTTATTAGCAATTTTACTTTAAATAAAGTTTAGTAAAGTAATCTAAATCATGGTTGGAAAAAAGTTTTATTGAAAAATAAAATTAAAGGAAATTTGATTAAGCAGTTAAGCATTCTATTAATTTGTTACGTATTTCTTTCTCTTGACTTTTTTCATTTTATTCTTCATCTGCGCATTGTAATAGAGGGCGTTGTTTTCTTTAGTTTTTCTTTTCATTCTGCTTGCTTGTGAAATCGATGTTTGACCTGTGACTATGTGAGTTTTTATTTTTCTGATGATTTTGTTTGAGTTTCTTTTCTTAATTTGTTATTTGTATTGCATGTTTTTTTCCTGCTCTTCAATACAAAACCATCGGGGTACTGAGGGAGTTAATTTAAGCATTTGCTTCTCCCTCAATTAGAAATGGTTTTGTTTTTATGGCTACCGAGGAGGCCGGTACCCCCTGAAGACATCGGCTTCAGTGGTCATATTTTTATTTTTATTTCCTTCGTTTTCTTTATTGTTACTTTTTTCTGAAATTTCTGCTGCTTTTTAGCGCGTTTTTTTCAAAGAAGTTTTTTCTATTTTGAATTAAAAATATTTGTGTTTTCTTTTAGTACTTTATTATAGCGAATCACAGTATAATTACTATTTAGTGCATAATATTAATGTTGGATTTTATGAATTTTACTAATAATTTAAATCGGACTTTATGAAAATTGTAAAAACAGGCGTAGTTCCAAGCCAACAATTATTTATTTAAAATACAAAAAAAATAAAAATTGGAGCTTGTATTCTACTATAATTGAAAACCTTTGAGAAATTTTGGTACGTTCTTTTAATGAAATTATACAAATTTCTAAATAGAAAAAAAAATTGTGGAAAAATAACTACATAATGAGAATTGGAGATACTATTTTCAACGGACAAATATTATTGTACGTGCGCAATCGAAATAATTTTCAAAATAAATATAATGAAATTTAAAGCATGTACTTGGCATAAAACAACTATCCAAGTTAACAAATACTTAGCAATACAAATAATATAGGTTTAAAGCTTTTTGTCATTAAAATAGTTGAACTCTAAATAAAGTAAATATTTACTAATATTAGTAATCATCAACTTTTGTAAATTAAATGTTTACAAATATAGATTGTAAAAGTCAGTTAAAAACTGAGATTAAATAAGATTAGCATTCAATATCATATTAATCACATAAATCATTTTTTAGAAATTTTTTTAAATTTTCATAACGCTTTGATAGCTCAATAAACTTATTCGTGAAATATTATTGAAAATCTAAAATGTAAATATTTTATAAATTGTTAATGCTTACGTTTACAAAACCCCAACAACATCAACCAGTTTCTAATGAAACCAAGCATTTTTTCCACTTTTTAATCACTCTAAAAGTTCAAGCTCAAACGTTAAAGTATAACTCACAAGCTCAAAAATTAGAATGAATTTTTTTTTCAAAAATGAAACACTTATTGATGTTTTCAATTGTTGAATTCTTAAAATTATAAATGGAACAATATATTGTTAAGCAACACAAAGTCACTTAAATAACGATTTTTGCTTGAAATTTGTCAAAATGAAATTTAAGACTATCTAATTGTTGTAAAAATACAACAAAAAAGTTTTCAAAACTGTTTGTTAGCGATCAGGGCGTAATTTGAATTGGTATTTCTCATTGATTTACAAAAATCTTTTTTTAATGTGCATAAATTAATCCAGAACTTTTAAAAAAGTGTCAAATACAATCTTCTGCACATGGAAATATTTGCAGTGATTTTTTTTAATTAACAATGTCTATGGAACCTATTAAAAAATCATCAATGCAATAATCAAATAATATTATCACTGACAATTTAAGTTATGTTGGTTTCATATAAAGCCAAAATTACTACCATTCTTGCTAAGTTACACTTATTTCTGACGAATTAAATAATTATAATGATTTTAATAAAGTATGGTAATTTAGTGATACAATTAAAAATCATTACTACAATCCCATTCAAGTAACATACTTACAAATTATTTAATAAATTGTAATTCAAATAATTTTAATAAATTTTCTTTTAATTCCGAAATTTTGGAACCAAATTTATTTAACTGAGATGTAAAATTATGTGAATAAATTTAATGAATTTTATGAATTTTAAGGAATCATTTTAATACACTTCTATTTCAGGTGCATTCACTAAAAGTCTTTTTGTAATAAGGTTTTAAATCTTTTGACGCATAACTTTTATTGAACATTATTTTTTATACTTTTTTATTATTTTGTATTAATTTAGGTCAAAATCAGTGGAAAATACTATATTTTGCATTTTAATAATTTATGGTTATGAAATATAGCTTGAAACACAATTATCTTTTTCGACGTGAAATGGAAAATTTGCCAAACATGGCTCATTTCCAAATAATAATTTTTCAAATTTTTTATTCATTATTTGTTATTTCAAACAGTCATTCATCATTGAAATCACTTTAATTAACAAAATCAATTATTGTTAAATTTCTGATTGTGAATTTAAAAAAATATTTCAAATTACTTTTCTTGGGGGGATTTTAAATTTTAGTACAAATGAAATTCCGATAATCTAATAGTAACTAATCTGAAATTCTGATAATCTAACAATTAGAATCTTTTGTGTAATAAAAAAAATGCTAAAATATATATTTGCTTGTAATTAAAACGAAAGAAAATATATACAAGGTGATTCTATAAAGATGGGCAAAATTTCAGGAAGTGATAGTACACATCCAAGCAAAAAATTTTTATCAAAGAATACGTGGTCGAAAACAAAACGCAAAGGTGCTGGCGCATTTGGAAAGTTGTTTGATGCAAACGGGAAAGCTCCATTCCTGTTGCGAGTTATTATTTGTATGTTTGGGAAGAAGAAGAGCTCGTGTGCAAATTTGTCGTCACGATTCATACATAAAAGCTGCTGATTCGAATGCTATAATGTCTAAAAATATTAAAAATATAATTGGCATTTTGTGGGGACAGCTGAAGGCTCTTATGTATTAGACTCCCATTGAATCTGCAGAAGAACTTGTCTCCAAGCTTTTGCCGCTGCAAGGAAAGTTCGTGATATGCCTGGTGTGTTTCAGAATGGTCGCCTATCTTTTCTTCGCCGTTGTACTGCGTGCATAGCCGCTGCCGACCACTGTTTTGAGCATTTATTGTAATCACATGCCATTAAATTTGCATTTATAACTTAACTTCATCGTTCTTCGTGTGTTTCTGCCTCATATTAGAACACAAACTTTGACGCCCTCTAGCGGTTTTGCGTTCTGTTTTCGACCATGCATTCTTTGATAAAAATTGCTTGCTTGGGTGTGTACTATCACTTCCTAAAATTTTGCCCATCTTTTTAGAATCACCCTGTATAAAATGGGCACTATTGTCTTATTTGCATCAAAGGGTTATACGGTTATTCCATGAAGATGCATGACCAATAATCCGATATTTTGATTGTAACAACAGTCCGCTCTTTATTTCCATATAAAAAAAATCGCTCTTGCATTTGTCTTAATTCGAGTCATCTTTTTCCTTCGTTCTTATCATGACTCTGTGATATCATGCTGTCTATATATTTGTGCTATTTTTCTCATAAATACTTTACTTACTGCATTGTTTTGCAAGCATTAAATATCAATTCAGAATGAAAGCTTAAAATTACTGACATATCAGAATGGTTTAACAAGATCATGTTAAATTCTCAAATATACGATTCGGAACTTAACAGTAACAGCACGAAATTAAGACTTTCCCATAAATCATGAAATAGTATGAAAAGTTAAAATAAAAGACAGTTTGAGTTCAGCAGTCTATGGGGTGGCTGTTACAGGGAGACAAGCACCTTGCTTGTATAACTGAAAGAAAATTAAAATAATAAGAGCAACTTGCTGTAATCTGTGGATGGCTGTAGTTTGATTGTCAACGTGAAGCAACATAGGTCAGGATTTCAGTATTGGTAAAGTGTTTGATGATGTGGACTATTGATGCTTTGGATTATTGATGTAGACTATAGATGCTGGAATTGAAGACTATTATTTGGGCTGATAGTTGTGGTATGAGGCGTCGGAGGTGAAATGAGCGGCTATTGGTCTTAGTTTATCGTCTTTTTTATAGTTCTCGAAGTTAAAAATCTGATTGAAGTTGGCTGTGCTGCATTGTATGGCTTTGTCGTAGAAGTCTGCATTTGATTTGTGTATATATTCGGATAGAAACGGAATTTTGAGATCTTTATGGATATTTGAATTACGTATGAACCATCTGGCACGAAATTGAGACTAACTGTGTAAATTTTCATATAAAAACCGCTAAGTGTAACTGACAAATTCTGAGCTTGAGCCTGGCGTTAAAGGTCACGTGCCTTGCCGCGTGATATTTATTTTTTACTTTGTATTTTATACTTTGCCGGTTTCTCATTTGGCATTCTATAGAATGCCGAGGATAATGTGTGAAATATACATCGTTTCATACATTGCCTAGGCATTCTATAGAATGCCGGATATCAAGCTTTGCCGATAACATACATAAAAAAAAATTTATTTAAATCCGAATGAAATTTTAAATTGCAGAGGTTAGATGAAATTAAGTTCCTGTAAGCTCTTCAAAAATAACTTATTTATTTAAACTATAAAATAGAAAAAATGTTTTCATCATGCAGATGCCTTCATAACCGAATTCTTACTTTTCTTGTTGGCAAATTGTAGAGAATGTTTGTTTGTTTTTCCCTAGAGGGAAGACGACTTATGTTTTCTTGGACAGTGATGTGGTGTCTTTCAACTGTAATCCTAATGCAAGTGCCCCTGCACTGGAAAAAGAACCTTTAATAATCACTTTGAAGCATAAAAGAAAGGTAGTATTGTATTTTATACAGCATTTCGTTTTTTTAATTACATGTAAAAGAATTTTTCACGCATGTGTATTAAGAGACCACTTAAGAAGTAAAATAATAAGCATGTTTTAGGAGAAAAAATTTACGGAACATTGGGAAAAAATCGAAAATCTGAAGAAAAAAAAATCTTCTTGATTATTTAATAAATTAACTGATAAAAATAATTTTTCCAAACAGACACAAAAACAAAATAACGGCTATATTTATTTCAATTATACATTGAATAGCTAAATAGCTATTTCATTATAACTACCAAACGTTTTATGAGCAAATGAGCTATTGCGTCACAGTATTGCCATTGAAGCATGTGAACGGTTAATACATATATATATATATATATATATATATATATATAT